TTGTTTAGCGCGATTGTTGAAGTTGAATGTATCGGTAAAGTTATATTCGGAAAGAATAAACCAGTTTTTATTAAGTAAGGACTTGTGTCATTAAAGTTTCGTCGCAACGAAGTTACGAAAAGTTAATTAACAAACGGAGACGTAACAGTATTATGTATTTGATATCACAATTATAAACTATTCATCTTGCCGAACATTGTTGATTTAGTGGCAGTTCCCGATAGAAGAGAGTAAATGCTATATACAGGGATATTCTAACAACAGGGATATATATTTTTTTTCGTTTTAGAAGTTGTGCCGAGCTTCGTTCATCGAGATATATCACAATAACCCTAAATCACCGGTAGGAATGACCTCCCTGTCGACCATCCTAGGCTCAGTACCAAAAGATGCTCATCTGTCTACTGTAGCAAGTGTTAAAACAGATAAACGTATTTTCTTGTACTTGAGAATCGTTTTCTTTTTTCAAGGATTTTGTCGTCCATATATTGTGTAATCATTTAAAAAAAACATAAAAGTTAACGTGTTTCTTGGTCATGATGCAATTTAAAGTTTATTGAGCTTACCTATAATTTTATTTGTCGGCTAGAAGATAATACTGAAATAAGAGATGCTGGATATCGCAGTTTTCCACCATCTTTTGGAATACAAAAATTTTAATAATTTTTCACTTAAGTCTGTTTCTATCAGTACCATACCATGTGTAGTGCTCACACAGATCGCATTCCTTCTTTGAAGGCAAGAATAAATTTTTTTTTAGAAGGAGCGCAGAATTTATGTCTCGCACAGGGCACCATCTACGATCGATACGACCAAAAACACACTGTCCAGAAAACCATTAAAATTGTTTTGATCTAGTAGCTTTTGTGTCTTTCTTGTTCTCGATAACAAATAATATCTAATCTATACTGGGAATGTCACAGCAACTTCGCACAATAATGAAGAAAGGGATCAACGACTCCAATGTCTTTTCTCTGGTCAAGTGGATGATGTGCATTGCAGCCAATGAATGCTGCGATAGAACTACCACTACCAGTTAAATGATGACGTTATCACACAGAAAAGAACCGAGTTTTCCTGTAAGTCTTGTTATTGTTTCAGTTCTTGGTTTTCAACATAGATTCGTCTTTAGAGAAGAAAATTAACAACCTATTCACCGATCCAGTAGAAGTGATTTTCGAAATGTCTACGCAAGTATACGCATTTTCTTTTGTCATTTTGTAATAAGTAAATATTGCTTCACTTCAAGTGTTCAGCATCGCTATTTTTCATATATAGCTTAAAGGACCCCTCTGATACTTGCACAGCAATCAGTTTGTCTAAGCATACCACAATCGCTTACTTCATTATTTTTCTTGTAGACCGTAAGTTGTATCTTTCTTTATCATAGCTATATCTAGGGTACGTATTTTATGTGTTGGGTTCAATCTTAGTACTTTTCTTTCTTCTGGTTCTTGTAATTGTCATTAACTTAAGCTTATTACTGTGCATTTAGTTGTGTCTATAGTGTTAAGCTTTTTGTTTTTAGAAACAATGAATGAATTTAGTTAACTGAATTTCTTTAGTACGTGTGTGTAATGGTAGCTGTGCATATGTTGATAATCTATGTTGTCCATTGTATTATCTATTTTATGATTCTGATCGTTCATGCTATTCTGTGTTTCATGTTTATTTATACGTTGATCCTTGATCTTATCTTGAAGCATGGCATTATTAAGTTTCTGAATTAGTCTTTGACATTGTGGGCTGTTGGTGTGTAATTTAACCTTCAGGAATTATGCTGTTTACATTTATGGAAGAAGGTGAGACGGTTATATATTTTAGCTAGTTAACAATTCGTTCTTCATAAATCTCTAATATACTTGCCAAGGCCATAGCAGATAGTTAAGTATTTATGATAAGTGATCAGATATCCATTCTTAATCCTTGTCATGGTTAGTAGTATAAACGATAACTGCCTCTAGTTCAATATACTAACAGTTTTAACTATATAGGCTGATAATTGATAAGGGGTGTAAGTATTAAACACACACGAACACTAAATGTACCTGTTTTGATGTAATACTGCAATCACTCACAGTCCTTTTTTTTCTTAGTCAGGCTTTATTACATTACATGTTATACTAATTGCTGTAGTTAAGTGTTGTTGGATTAATCAAACCAACAAACAAGAAGTGGAAATTAAAATTATATTTGACAGTTGATAAACGACTTAGTTGCACCTGAAAGAGATTTTCACACACTACAATTTCTACACAATCACAAAATTCCATGACTTTGGGATTCTTTTTGCTGAAAACCTGAATAAGTAATATGAACAAGAAACTAACTTTCAAGTTAGTAAAGAATCTAGCCTTCTTTACTCTACCAACAATCTATTTTGCTGTTAAGTTTCAAAATATGTTTTTCATTAAAAACATCTTTACTTGTTACTTTATTAAACTTTATTAGAATATTTTAGATGTTTTAATAAGAAAAAACTTGTCAGTTCTTTAGTTAATGAGAAAACTTAAGCGTACACGTATTTGAAAATTAACTTATAGGTCAACATATTTTATCAATCAGTTGAAAATAAGTACAAACTCAAGTTTTTTTGTGTGATACTCCTAGAAAGTAACCCAATTTTTTGTACATTATAGTAACAGTGCTATTTATTCTTTTTGGTCATTATTTGTTTCTTAATAAGTAAAAACATAATATTACTCATTATTAGTTTTCCATAAAAGTTTTGTGATTAATGTAGTCTCATTTCATCATTTCCTTACTCATTTTTGATTTATACAACATACATTAAACTACCTAGAAAAACTTGAAAAATAATTTAAATAAACAGCAAAAATCAATAATTCAACTTATGTTGCAGTTCAAAAATCCATAAGCAGGGTTGTACCGAACTTAATCTGAGACTTCCATTCCTCAATAAAGATCACAAGACCTTAAAACCTTAATACTAAATTAGAGAAATAATGAACCCTATTCATGATTGATATTTAACTATTTTATTCTGCCAGATAAACCATAATAAATATCAGTTAAAAGAAGAAAAGCTAAAAATTATAGCAGGCCTGTAAAACATTATATTAGATTTTAATAAAACTGTCACAGACATGATCAGTTTGAGAGCATTTTTCTTCTGATTGTACAACACAACAATACAAAGTGAATGAAACTGTTTAGCATTTAAACACAGCTCACATTAAGAAATGAGGACACTTTTTAAATTAGTAGCATTGACTTGAACAGTAAAAAATGATAAATGGAATACTTTATAAACACAAGAAGATTAACTTTTACGCCCTTATTTTGACACATAAATAATCACCTCATTACTTAATGGTTCTCATAATGAGAACCATTGTAATTTCCAAAATGTTTCTTTGTTCATTAACAAGGCAAAATTAAAGAAAATGCAATGCCAAAACTCAGCATGGTATATAACACTACCCTTAAAAGAAAATGAAAAAAATGTTTGTTACATATACTTAGCTATAACTATGAAGAAGCTCCAAAACCGTAACCAAATACTTCAAACCCTAACCCGTGCAGGGTGTATATAGAATTTGATAAAATAAATTATTTTACTTTTCCATGACTTTTTCAAAGTTTTCCTTACCATTCACATTATATAAACATAATATGTTCTGAAATCACTGCATTAACTACTTTACATGAATTATTGAGCTTATGTACTAGATATAGTAGCTAGCCAATACATTTCGGTTAGTGATTACTGGCGGTAACAAAAATAACCTTGACTTTAGGCATTTTTTCCCTGATTGTATACACCCTGCTGTGGCAATTTGTCAAGTGATTACTAAAGTACATTAACAGATGGTTGAATATATTATATATTAAAATGATTTCAATATGCAAGTCAAGTGACAAGCACAGCCAATATAAAATCATGGAATGCCATGTATCAGAACTAAATTTTTACATTGTTTAACGCATTATAGTTAGTATGATTCTACCAAAAACTGATTGCTTTTAGGATGGGTATGTAACAGTCCTCTCCAATGTAAAATATTCATATACTCAGCTCATAAAGAATTTCCAAGACAGGGATATTCCTTGTACTTAATGGAATTGGAAAACATTTAGAAAGAGATCTGCAACAAGTCATACCATAGTCATGGGCCAGTAGCAAAAGCAGTCCAGTGCTCCAAGTAACAGTACACAACATAATCAAGAAGAATCTTCACATGGAAAAAGAGACACAAGTCACACGTACACAAGTTACATCTATGACATAACCAGGAAAAGAACAGCTGTAGAAAACTGTATTCATTATACCTAACTAGGGAAAAATAGCAGTACATGGTGATACTCAATAAAGCATAGGTTTACATTAATAATTATAACAAGTGCCATTTTCTACTGGTCAGTGGTTGAAAACAATTTCCAATAATGGCACACAGCATATTGCAAAACCTTTTTGAAGGGATTTATAATCATCACTGGATACTGCACCAGGGGTAAGTTAAGGATTGGGATAGTGAATACACAGGTGAAGGTAAACTCTACTTACTATTAGACCATTTTTACATAAACAAGGCCAACAGGGTATGAGTTCACCAAGATAAGGCTTCCAGTCATACCTCATGTTCAAAATATCTCGTGGAACTGGAGAACGAAAAGAGTATCCATGTTATTGCATACATACACTTCAGATGCAGCAACTATGTATTTCTGTGAAATGGCCACCGGGAAACTATTGTCCTCGTACACTGGATGTGTAATGGAAACATTCATGGATATGACTATCTTATGATAGGGCCTTTAGGAATAAAAATTGTGCTGCAGGGCTAATGTAAAGATGCATGATTGTCAGGTAAAACATGGACTGTAACAAAGCAGTGAAGCCCTAAAATCATTTGTAATATAACATACTCAACTCTCTTTATAATGTATGGAGATGTAATACAAGATAATCACTGACTTAAAAAAAACATGTTTTATAATTGTTAAATTTTCACAAGAACTGAAGAAAAAAAATGATGTACATAAAGTAGGTGAGCAAAACTTGCATAATATAAAAATAACCAAAAATTTCTAATATATGGAATAAAATATAGCTCAAAACTCATGATCATTCAAAAAGAAATCTTAGTTTAATTTCTAATATCAAACACTATATTATTGCAAACGTGTTCATTGATTGATTATCTAGCAATTTTTGAACTAATCCAATACATTCAACATACACATATAGAAGCTGAAATAAAATATATATACAAAAAAATTTAAACTCAGAAGTTTGATAGGCTTTTCTACCATATTTTTACTTCTGATAAAAATAATTCAAATGTAGCATCTTTACATATTTTAATCATTATCTACCTTTTAAAATATACAAAAAATTTTAACATTTCAAATTCTTCACATCTATTTATAAGTTGATCAACTTTTAAAAAATAAGTTAAAAGAATTTAATATCAGAAAATGCATTTTTAGGTGATTTCTTTGTCTATTCATTTGTGATTAAAAGAGTAATAAAAACAAATTATTCAACATCACAAGCTGACATGAACAAATATTTTATGGATTAAATGATCTATTAATAGATTGTAATAAAAATAACATTTTATTTCCAACACACAACTCCTGTGAGTGGGAAGCAGTCAAACCAAATTGACTCTTGGATATTTAAAACTGTGAATTCTTAAATGAAAATGTACACTAATACTTACAATCTTTAAAAATACCTCAGTAAAACAAAAAACTACTTCAAGAAACAGGAAAGTGTACAGACTCAAGCTCATGAATCATTGCTTGGAGGAGTGAAAAACAATAATAAGAGAACAGTTTTGCTTAACAGCAACAACAAAGAAGTAAAAAACAATAACCTACCCAAACAAATGAACATTCAAAGGCTTGAGCTCAATAAGTTCCACAAACGTTAAAAGAAATGTTAAAATTTTATCTCAATAGGCTTAACAGTTGTAATCATTCAACATCATAATCATCAGGATCATCTTCCCTCTTTCTTTTTTTCTCATTTTCTGGCAGATCTGCAAGCGACTGGGATACTGAACTATTCTGAGAAGTTACTGCAGAGCTTGAGGTTGTAGTTGGTTTGCTTGTTTTTACTGATACAAGTGGACTGCTACTAATGATAGGCCCTGAAAAAATGTTGTTTTCAGATATTTTAAATAAAACTATTTTCAAGTATCACAGGTATGTTCTTATCTTGAAAGAATAAATATTTACAAACACAAAAAATGGAAGCATTTTATGCTTGAAACTATAAAACGTATGATTGGGGAAGTTTCTAATAATAGTAAAGCAAAATGAGATCTGATTAAAATATTCTACTTATAGTTGTGAATATACCATCACAGTACATATTTTTTACTTTCATGGCTGGTTACATTTCAGAAGTACAAGTTAGGAAAGTATTTTCAGTTCTAAGTCATAATGTTCATAAAATAAACTTCCATGCAAAACATAATGTGAAACATGTTGACTTCAGTGAACAAGAATGCTATTTCTTTATATTAACATACTACAAGCAAAGAGGATTATATTAACTGTTTTAATTTGACAGCCATATTACAAAGAAATATTACAAAAATCAAAATATATTTAACTCCTTAGTTTTAAACTTGTTAAACTCTTTCTTAACCCAAAGGGTGTCACTAAGTTGCATGAAACTTATAATAAGCTCACTAAATGTACTAGTACCTTAATCTAGTTTGGATTTTTTTTTAAATGCAAACAATCAAAATACTTTCTTTTACTTTAGAATTAAAAAAATTTCTACTGTTGATCAGAAAGTTCAACTTTATATATCCAGTCAATTTCAACTTTATTGATATTTATAGACATATTTATTTCGATAAATTATTTTGCCAATTGCACTATTCACCTCTTCCAACTATAAAACTATAAAAAGCATCATTTATAAAGTTTATACCTGACTTAGAACCTGATCTTTCAAAATGGCATTAAGTTCAGCTAGATAACATTTTTGGCAATATTCTTGGTCAAGATCAGTTCATATTCAATATATATAGCTTATTCTCAGAAAAAAATAACCTATTTTGTTTACATATGTTGTTCAAATATGAAAAATTACAAATAATCCGAGTCTTTGAAATATTTTGCCATCACTTGCTATAACCTAACTAAACTTACCTGATGGCTTGCCATATGAAAAATTCCGTAGTTTTCAAACAAATATAATTTAATATGAAAACATTTTCAACAATGAAAATAACACCTAAAGAGAATAATAAAAATTCACAGATCTGTGGTTTGTTCCTAAGTCTTCTAAACTTCCCATTTGATTCTTGCAAGAGCTAGGTCTTGCCACTTTATTACCAAACTATAAATCACTTCTCCTGCCCATTTATTCCTCTACAGTTGTTTGTTTGGTTGACTGAGACTTTATGATGAAAACCACCAATGTTATTTACACCAAACATTTAAATTAAAAAATTATAAAACCCCATTGAAAACAATATATGTAAAAACTTGAGAAGCAAAATAAAAAAAAAGTCAATGTCATGATTGGTACAAACAAGTTTAAAGATTAAAGAGAATGAAAAAGGCCAATGGCTCACAAAAAACTATAAACACAACCAACCTGGAATATCACCATCACCAATGACACTGTCCAATGTTAAAGGGAAACCATGAGATAAATATGTCTAAAACAGTGATGCTGCTGGCAGTAATAGCAACAGAATGAAAGTAAAATGTGGGTGTCACTTGAGTATCACAAAGGCCATACACTGGCAGACAAAAAACTAAGTGAGTCAGTATAGATAGTACAATAAGTGTACAGCTTAGCTTGTACATGATCCAAGCCAAGAAAAATTGCATACAATTTGGCAATGAACATAGAATCTGTAAAGTGAATCCTGTGAGCAACCACAGCAAAACCACAGTGTCACCATATTTTGATCCATCCGTAAAAATGGAAACAGAAGAATGGTTCAAAATATGTTCAGCAAAGAAAAGGTGGTAATTCCATTCAAGAGCAACTGCCCTCTTCAGATGACTCAAAGAAAGGTCACAAGCAGGGATGGTAACAAACCATGGCAGGATGGGCTGATCATCAGATTACACAACATCATCCATTGTCAGACCAACTTTAGTCAACCATACCTGGATACAAAGACAGAACATGGGAATAGCAGACCACCTATTTGCAAAAAGCACAGCCCACCAAGGCATGAAGGCACAATGCTAGGTGGGATGCTGTAGCAAGGATCAGAGCTCCACAGCATATTGTAAGGAAAGTTGCTAATGTCTGAGGTGAACTGTAGGTTAATAAGACTAACTGTATAAACTCTGGATTGGAGATGTGCAGAAAGCTCCCATGCAGAGCCAAAGCCAGTAGTGATGTACAGGGCCCAACATTTTCAAGGCAATGTCCTTAACTGAACTATACACTACAGATCCATAGTCCAATTTTGACTGGATGAAGGCACAATAAATCTTTAACATGAAACATTTATTCACTCCCCATGAAGGGGAAGAGAGAATGCAGATGTTCAGTGCTCTTGTACACTTGACACTAAACTGCTTAACGTGTGAAATAAATGTCAGCTTACAGTTGGAGAGAAGTCCTAAGAACTTTGTCTCAGCCCCCATGGGAATAACATCACTAACCAGCTGGAGCCATGGATCAAAGTGAAATTCCCACTGGTAGCAAAAATGCACACAAACAATTTTAGATGACAAGAGGTGAAACTCTTTGCATTGGTCCACCCTAACAAGTGAGTGAGTGCAGACTGAAGCCGCCATTCAATAAACCTTATCACTGACTTAGAAGCTGTTCAGTGATAGCATTGATCTTAATACTGAAAAGTATGGCACTCAAGAAACTCTGTCCTAAGGGACTACAAGCTGACAAGCCCTTCTATTCCCTTCTGAATATAATAGACATCTACCATAAAGTTTTGTTAGACAATGAATGGAGTATCAAAAAGCAAGGTATAGAAATGGTTGGGGATGGTGACTGTGGAACAGTCTTCTATCTATGATCATTTTCCAATTATATTTTGTTTATTTTTCATTTTTAAATTATTCATAAAAAAAAGGAGTCCTACAATTGGATGTGCCACACTGTCAAACAAGAACTGCATAGCTATATCAGCGTTTCATGGGCACTATGCCCAAACACCGGTGCCAGACATAATGTCCACAACACCTGTCGAGGACATTCAATACTAGCACTCAGTCAACTCTAGTTAAATAGGACCAATCAATTCACAATGGTAAGTCCACCAAGATGACCATCTATTTACAGGAATTTAAGACCACTCAACCACCAAGATCTTCTTCTCCCCTTCAGGGGTTACCATGCACAGCAAACATATGGGTGGAAGTTTGGATCCCAGAAGAGATAAACAGTATAGACGACACAAACTTTCCTGGAAGGTACTCTCACCACATTCAGGAATCTACATCTATGTCTCGTAGTTGTCCAGATCATATACTACAAGATCATAAAAGGATGGGAACAAGAGGCTTTACAAATAAAATCAGTGAAAGAGAATGAAAATCATGTAAGTTACAAAGCATGCATAATTATATTATCAAGGGATGACAGTTTCTTAAAAAATATCAGCCTATCTTCAATTGGGCAGAAAAAGCTTAAAAAAAGAGTATGTTATTTATAGAGAAGACTAAGTGAAGCTGCACAGAAATGTAAATTTGAGTATTTTTCATTTTTCTTTGCAAATTGCACTAAACAAATGTTAAAAATGATAAAATATCAATTATACAACAGTATTGATATAAAAGTGTCAAAACAGTTAGAACTATTATATTTACTTAAAGCCTGAGATTTGATATACAGGTGTGCACTTGACACCTGAAAGATGATCACTGGTCATGATAAGGTTGGAAATTATTTATCATTTAGTGGTACATGAAAAATACAGTAAAAAAAGCATATTGTAATTTGGCAATTTTGATAGAATTTTTTATAATTTCTCTTTTAAACCTACTTATAGGTACATGTTGCTTTGCATACACATGATGATATCTTTAATGGTTTTATTATATTTTATAACACACTGTATATTACTAATTACCTTGAGATAATTTGAAAATTGGAGTTGGTGTCATTTTACCCTTAGTTGGTGTAGGAGTGGTGACTGTTCTTGTAACTAATGTGACTGTTGGAGAACCCACAGTCTTGGTGACTACAGATAGTACAGTTCCAGATTTACTAGCTAAAGGAATAGCTGGCATCACTCGTGAGATTGAAGGTCCAGCTGAAATAATGAAACATATGTTAAAGTATGTATGTGTAAATATCATTCACAATTGATTTCAGTACAAGAATGACCTTAAAAGTTTAACACTTATTGTCCAATACTGCTACATTATCACAGTAACTACTAAAATATGCTTAATTTTAATCTTTTTGTAAATATGAATAAACAATTTATACTTTGAAGAAAAATAACTTAGTAATTTATTGCAACAATGAAAACTATATACTTATATGTACCATGCTTGCTAAATCAAAAACAGGTAACTTATTTTAACACAATTATGTTTGTGAGAATAGGACCCACAGTTATACCTAACATGCCTGATTTTCTGACAATACAAAACACTACGAGAACAATTATAAACTCTTATCTGACTATGATTTCTCTGATAATCTTTCCACTCTATCTACAGACTAGTTATATAGCCTAATATTAACATTTCTTATTACTTTCTGGACATTATCCATTGGGACAGTCTTGATAATGTTAGTCTGTGATTGTAACATCTGTTAACCACAAACATTTGACCTTTTTTTTTGGAGGAAATAAAACTTGCAAGAACGATGTTTTAACAAATTAGCTATTGTGTCTTGAAAGCTCAAGGTATCAATGTTTATTTCACTGGTTACTAAGGGCTGAATCTGATATAACTCTTTGAGTGATGTCAACTGACTTCTAAGAGTCATAATACTTATATTGTAGACCTGTGGTTTGAAATGAGAAATAAATAAGTCTTAAGCATACAAATCTTAAAAGTGTCACATTCATCTGAAGAAATGAAAAGAGAGATTATAATTCAAACAATTAAATCAATGAATACTTATCCCAATTTCTGAAATTGCCAAAAAACTAAATTACATAAAACTACAACTTAATATCAATTGAAAACCCATTTATTTATTGCATAATCTCAAGGTGAAAATAATTTATATCAATCAGATAATCAATCTATTTAACTATTCTTACTATACATAACACTAGAAGAGAATTATGGTAAACGCTTACTGTTTGAACTTCCAGGCTGTAAGGAACTGAAAGACACTTTAGATGAAGGAACATTTATCTGCATACGAGGCTAAAAAAGACAGAGAAACAGTACTATAAATGATATCAATACATAATGAAATTCAATATAAAAGGAACTGCATACAATTATACGGTCATCATAGCTAGATATATGTATTTTAAATGAGGTATAAAACATTCTTCGTGCGAGTGTAAACAGTTTCTAACACTAAATTTACCCAAAAATGTATTATAAAGTCGTTATGATAATGTACAATCTTTCTTGTCTTTTTTTCATTTTATATTTTTTTTTACAAACATAGAACATGAATTTCAATGTGTGTGTGAATTTTTTCATATACAATGACAACAAATGTGTTTTAAGTTGCATACATTTTAACACTAGCTTTAATTAAAAATAACTTTATAAAAACTGATTCTTAGTAACACTTTTTCACTTTTTGATAAACCACACCTGAAGTGCAGATCAATAATTACCTTTTTCTGTGGCTTCAGTCGATAATTACATGCACTTAAACAATATCGATCTGGTGGAAGACGTGCTCCAGCACTTGATTTGATTAAAGGCAGAGGTGTACTATTTTTCTGTCTTGCTACTTCTAACAAAAGCTAGAAAATAAATGTTTGTGCTTTAAAACTTTAAGCATTAAATTTCATGTTCTTAACTAGCTAACCAAATTATCTACATTTTTATAGCTGAAACTATGTAATTATTTGTGTTACATCCTGAAGAAAAGAAAGAATCAATGCCATTACAGTTTCATTAAAGGCAGGATTTTTTGAAAAATATACTATGGCATTAAATTTCTGAGCAAGAATCAACAAATCATCTACACTTATGTAATACAAGTATTTCCTCAAACCAAAACACAGATAATTAGAGCTGGGTAATGTAATCAATTAATCGATATAACCAATTGCCTATAAGCAGCATCTACATTGATTATCAAAATTAACATTTCTAATTATTAATGCTTTTGATTATTCCAACAATCACAATGCCAGGACAATAATCTACTAATCAAAATTACTAGTTCCAATTATTACTGTTATTCCAACAATCAATTAATCAACATTCTGATTATATCAATTGTCACAAAAATAATGAAAATTTATTTTTTTGCCTATGTATGCCTAAATTTTGAGAAACACTACTATCAAATGTAATCAATTAGCAAATACCACTAATCACCCAGCTCTATAGATAATTTAGGAGCTATATTGTACAACTTTATAAATGTTAATAATGAAAGAGTCAATAATATTAACATGTGTACAAAATAAGTCATATGTTAAAGCTATTTTACTCAACAAGTATGTATTTTTGTAAAATTTTTTATATCTTATTTAGATCTCTGGTAGATGGATCTTTTCATGACATAATGATGATGTAAGATCTAGAAATTTCACAAAAGTTAAGGCCTCGGCAGAATCTGGAGGTTCCTGTATTACATAGAAAACTAGATTGTATATGAATACCAGACTGTGAATTATTCAGTTTTGTTAGTCAGTTAGAGTTCTTGAATATCTTTGTCTGCAATTCAGCTAGTCAGCAAGTTATTCAAAATGTTTTTTTTACCAATTGAATAGCCAGGAAATTCTGTAAGTAAGTTTATTTGTGAGTTAAGTGTATATTAGTTTCAAGAGTTTATGTTGAAACATTGTTTGTGATATAAGGCCTACCAGTGAACCTAACTTGTAGTAAATATTATTGAAGAAATAAATTTGTTATTGTTATGTGGACTAGAACATATTACAGCATTATGTTTGGATAAAATTTTGAAAAAAAATCACTTACATCTCGTGGAGGGGGACAAGTAAAAGACTTGTCCATTTGTAATTGTATTGCAAGACGAACATCATCAACATCGATGTTTTTCTTTTTGGCATGTGAAGAAAACAAACGAGCATCATCAAGCATTGTTGTAACATATTCTAAAATGAAGAAAATAACCACAAATCAATCAAATGATAAACATAACTACAAATAACAGGCAATGACTTGGTCCTTCATGGCTATCTCTACATATCCATCTCTGAGAAAAGGGAAAGTAAAAACTTTAACTCACCCTATATTTTTCATTAAGTTATTCTAAGATGCCAGCCTCCACTAGTGCCAACAATAATTCATTACATAAGCTAATCACCCTGTTAGACAAACAAAATTATCTTAACTAGAGCGTATGTCCCCCTCATCTTCACAATAGAACACAAAAAATTAGGGGTCTTCATCCTATCGATCCCCTAGATAATCAAGAGAAGTTATGTTAAATGATCTTAACTATTCCTACAAGATTTAAGTAAAGAGATCAAAACTGTGCAAAGCATTCCAGGTGAGACCTAACTTATGGCTTTCATAGATAAAACCACCCATTTTGCCATTTAATCAATATGCCTATAAATACACATTATAATATTATAAGCTTTATTACTAACAACAGAGTACTACCTCGATGGCTTAGGTGATTTGTCTATCAATATGCCTAGATCTTTTTCTTCAGTTACACTACTGAGTCGCTTCTAATTTCTATAGCTAAAGATCATTTTAAACTATTTGTCCAATTTACCAATTGATCCAAGTCATTCTGTTGTACATCAAAACCCTCAAAACAGCTAGAAATACCCAAGTCTTATGTCATCAGCAAACTTCACAAACTTAATAATTATGCTCTTATTACTATCATTATGTAAATAATAAGAAGCAAAGGTCCAAGCACTAACCCTTGAGGCATTCACTTAATAACAAAGGTCTAGTTTTACTGGACTCCATTAATATTAGTGCTTTCTCTTACCTTGCCACCCTACAATCCAATTAACTAGTCTTTCTCCAACTTTCTATGGGTGCAATTTTTTTTAGCTAATCTTCCTTTTGTGTGGCATCTTGCCATCAACAACCTTTATTTACAAACGTTCTGAAAAAAGCTCCACCAAAGAACCATAGTTTAAACACAATTGCATTAAGATATTTCTGCCATAAAACACATTTACAGTTAAACTTCCAATAATCAAATGGTAAGCATACCAAATAAAAACTGCCAAAATATTTCATAACACATGACCAAACCAATCTGATGAATTTATGTTTGCAATATATAAACCTTTTTCATCACATAAAGTTTTGTCAACCACATTAAAAACACAAACATAATACTATGATTTTGTGACGCTTGCTTTTTAAAACTATAACAATTACTTTATGTTAAAAACTACTGCTCATCATTAGATTCGTCACTTCTTTTTCATTATTGTTTTTATTTCACCATTTCTATGTATGTATTTAAAGTACATGTATGACAAGCTGAATTCCAACATACAGATATATAAATATATATATATTCCAATATATATATAGTCCTTCATATTCATATAACCATTTAACAACATTTTAAAATCAAAACTAGCACTACAAACCATTTCATCAGACACAGTTTTACAGCTCTAACAAACAAGTATATTTGTTAAAAAACATGCCTAGATATGGGCATCCAGACATACGTATTACTGTTGATACGTTCATATTTTCAATCTTATTAAAATGTATAGCATGCCTTCTAATTGTTTATAATAGTTAGAATGAAATAGTAGATGTAATTAAATGTTTATTACACATCAGATTAATTAACATGTTCAATACTTGTGAACTAATGGAAAAGTTAAAGTTGGTAGAAAATTCAGTTAATGATTATCTGATTAAGAATGTGCTTAATTGGGTATCTTAGGGGTCTATTTAGGTACTTTTGATTATATTAATATATTGGGGGAAGATTATTCTATGGAATGAACTTGTTTTATGTCTGAGTAATGCATTGGCACATAGGAAAAGAAGAATTTAATTGGTTTAGTTAACAAAAGCCATAAATTATTCTACCGATTGTTTAATCATTCTGAAAAGAAAAAAACAGTGTTCTTGATTCTACTTATACAGAATTTAAAGTTTAAAAATCAAACACTGCTGCAATCTTATTCAATACACTGGAGGCATCTCATCCAGAGTAATGTGTGTTTTTCAATTTATTACTACAAAAAATGTACAAAGATAGGAAAGATTTCAGATATAGTTCACTATGATATGAACTTGTTTTCTCTAGAGCACAGAAAAATTAGAAGAAATCTGAATTGGTTATTTGGTTCTTATTGGTAGGGGGGTGAATACTATTGCAAGGCACTGTATTAGTGTTTGGGCAATTTTCCTATTTGGTGAAAAGGAAAGATTCAAGATGAAAATTTGATTAATACTCATTTAGGAGGAGTAGTTTTCAGCTTTGAAGAAAACTTCTGGAATAATTTGCTTGATGTTTTATTACATTCCATTAGTTTGGTTTACTTAAAAATATTGTTGAATAAGTATATGGATGTGAAAAGCTACATTTAACTTTAATTAGATCCTTTGTTTGTTGGTTTTGTGGATAAATGGTGACCTTAATGGGCTAATTGATTTTCTGTCACCTGGATTTTGCTTATGGTCTTATATCAGTAACATGAAGTGATATATATTAAACATATACAAAGCAATTTCTAATATCCATATATTACATAATATTGATGTGTGTTCTTAAAAATAACTAAATGCAAACCATAAATTGTATCACATCTTTACTTTAAACTAGTCAACTCTTTATATATATCCAGTATTTTTAGTTGTAATTTACTCACCACAAGGAATCTATATTTACATAAGATCTGATATTACTATTACATCTTTCTGAATTATTGAGCAGACAAGCACTAAAAAAATAATTAAATAAAGCAATACCTATCATTCAGTTTACCACTTTTCACTAAGTTGTAATGGTTCTAGAGAATTCCATCCCTCATCAATAACCCTGGAGAAGGGCAAATCTAAATAACAAGACTAGGCTTCTTATACTTGTGGAGTTATATATATATATTGTTACGTCTCCGTTCGTTAGTTTATTTTCCGTAACTTCGTTCCGATGAAACTTTAGCG